TGGGGACCCCAAAACCCCCCCACCTCGTGGGTGTAGGTCCTGACGGGCACCCCAAACGCCCGGGCCAGCCCGAAATCCGCCAGCTTGATGGAGCCCTCGGCGTTGATGAGCAAATTCTGCGGCTTCAGGTCGCGGTGCAGCACGCGGTGAGCGTGGCAGAAGGCCAGCCCCTGCAGCAGCTGGAACAGGTAGCTCTGGGGACATTGGGGACATCGTTGGGGACATCGGGGACATCGTTGGGGACATTCCCTGAGAGACCTGAGTGGCTCCTGAGTGACCCAGGGGACCCCCAGGGTGGGTTTGGGGTTTTGGGGTCACAAGGCAGAACATCAGCCCTGCAGCAGATGGGACAGGTGACTCTGGGGACATTGTTGGGGACATCGGGGACACTGAGGTCTGTCCTCTGAGTGAGCCCCAAGTGGCCCAGGGGACACTCCCTGAGAGGGACCTGAGTGGCTCCTGAGTGACCCAGGGGACACCCAGGGTGGCTTTGGAGTTTTGGGGTCGCATGGCAGAAGGCCAGCCCCTGCAGCAGATGAGACAGGTAGCTCTGGGGACATTGGGGACATTACTGGGGACATTCCCTGAGAGGGACCTGAGTGGCTCCTGAGTGACCCAGGGTGGGTTTGGGGTCTTGGGGTCACATGGCAGACCACCAGCCCCTGCAGCAGATGGGACAGGTGACTCTGGGGACATCGTTGGGGACATCAGGGACACTGAGGTCAGTCCCCTGAGTGGCACCTGAGTGACCCAGGGGACCCCCAGGGTGGGTTTGGGGTCTTGGGGTCACATGGCAGACCACCAGCCCCTGCAGCAGATGGGACAGGTGACTCTGGGGACATCGTTGGGGACATCGGGGACACTGAGGTCAGTCCCCTGAGTGAGCCCTGAGTGGCTCTGGGGACACCCAGGGTGGGTTTGGGGTTTTGGGGTCCCCCAATGTCCCCCCCAGGTATTTTTGGGTCCCCAATGTCCCCCAGGTGTTTGTTTTAGGGTCCCCTCCCAGCCTCGGAGCCCCCCCTGGGTTTTAGGGTCCCCCCCAGGTTTTGGGGTCCCCCATGTGCTTTAGGGTCCCCTCTCTATTTTAGGATCCCTCCCAGGTTTTAGGGTCCCCAGGATTTGGGGTCCCCCCGGGTTTTGGGGTGCCCTCCAGGTTTTGGGGTCCCCCCGGTTTCGGGGTCCCCCCGGGTTTTGGGGTGCCCCCCAGGTTTTGGGGTCTCCCCCGATTTTGGGGTCCCCCCGGTTTTGGGGTCCCCATGTCCAGCCCCAGATTTTAGGGTCCCCCCGGTTTTTGGGCCCCCCCGGTTTTGGGGCACCCCCAGTTTCGGGGTGCCCCCCAAGTTTTGGGGTCCCCCCCGGTTTTGGTCTCCCCCCGGTTTCAGGGTCCCCCCGGGTTTCGGGGTCCCCCCCCTTTTTGGGGTCCCCCCGGTTTCGGGGTGCCCGTGCCCAGCCCCACCTTGATGAGCGGCAGCGCGATCCCGCTGAGCGACGAGGAGTCCATGAACTTCTTCAGGGCCTCCCAGGTTTTAGGGTCTCCCCGGGTTTCGGGGTCCCCCCTGGTTTCGGGGTCCCCCCCCTTTTTGGGGTCCCCCCGGTTTCGGGGTGCCCGTGCCCAGCCCCACCTTGATGAGCGGCAGCGCGATCCCGCTGAGCGACGAGGAGTCCATGAACTTCTTCAGGTCCTGGTGCAGGAACTCGAACACCAGGTACAGCTTGTTCTCCGGGTTTTGGGGTGCCCTCCAGGTTTTGGGGTCCCCCCGGTTTCGGGGTCCCCCCGGGTTTTGGGGTCCCCCGGTTTCGGGGTCCCCTCCCCGATTTTGGGGTCCCCCCAGATTTTGGGATTCCCACCCCGGGTTTTGGGGTCCCTCCCAGGTTTTAGGATCCCCCCAGGTTTTAGGGTCCCCCCGGGTTTTGGGGTCCCCCAGTTTTGGGATCCCCTTCCAGGTTTTGGGGTCCCCCCCCGTTTCGGGGTCCCCCCAGATTTTGGGGTCCCCCCGGGTTTTGGGGTCGCCTCCCAGGTTTTAGGGTCTCCCCGGGTTTCGGGGTCCCCCCTGGTTTCGGGGTCCCCCCCCTTTTTGGGGTCCCCCCGGTTTCGGGGTGCCCGTGCCCAGCCCCACCTTGATGAGCGGCAGCGCGATCCCGCTGAGCGACGAGGAGTCCATGAACTTCTTCAGGTCCTGGTGCAGGAACTCGAACACCAGGTACAGCTTGTTCTCCGGGTGGATGACATCCAGGAGCCTGGGGACATGGGGACAGCTTGGGGACACAGGGACAGGGACACGGGGACAGGGACTCGAACACCAGGTACAGCTTGTTCTCCGTGTGGATGACATCCAGGAGCCTGGGGACATGGGGACAGCTTGGGGACAGCTTGGGGACAGCACCTAGGGACATGGCCTGGGACACAGGGACAGCCCTGGGGACATGGGGACAGCACCTGGGGACACGGCCTGGCACACAGGGACAGCCCTGGGACAGGGGGACAGCACCTGGGGACATGGCCTGGGACACAGGGACAGCTTGGGGACATGGGGACAGGGACACGGGGACAGGGACTCGAACACCAGGTGTGGATGACATCCAGCAGTCTGTGGGGACATGGGGACAGCTTGGGGACATGGGGACAGCACCTGGGGACACGGGCTGGGACACAGGGACAGCCCTGGGACATGGGGACAGCCCTGGGACAGCCCTGGGGACACAGCCTGGGACACAGGGACAGCTTGGGGACAGCTTGGGGACAGGAATACAGACAGCCCTGAGACATGGGGACAAGGCGTGGGACACGGGGACACGGGGACATGAGGACACAGGGACATGGGGACATGGGGACATGGGGACACCACAGGGCCTGGCACGGCCACAGCACATCCTGGGGACACTGCTGGTCACGGGGGGCTGCCCAGGACCCCCCAAAGCCCCCCAGGACCCTCCAAGACACTCCTGGGGACCCCTCCTCGGTGACATCTCCCCCAGGACCCCCCAGGACACTCCTGGGGACCCTCACTTGGTGACATCTCCCCCAGGACCCCCCAGATCCTCCCCAAACACTCTTGGGGACCCCTCCTCGGTGACATCTCCCCCAAAGCCCCCCAGGACCCCGCCAGGAGCCTCCTGGGGACCCCTCCTCGCTGACATCATCCCCGAAACCCCCCCAGGACCCCCCAAGACACCTCCAGGACACTCCTAGGGACCCCTCCTCGGTGACATCGCCCCCCTCAAACCTCCCCCAGGACCCCCCTGAGCCCCCAGACCCACTTGACGATGTTGGGGTGGTTGAGCTCCTTGAGCAGCGAGATCTCCCTGATGGCCGTGCTGGGGACACCCTCGGTCTCCCTGCGGTGACAACCACGTGGGGAGGGGGCGGCTGAGCCCCGGGACCCCCCGGGGGACCCCTCGGGGGACCCCCGGGACCCCCACTCACGTGTCCAGGCGGATCTTCTTGAGTGCCACCACCTCCCCCGTCACCTTGTTGCGCGCCTTGTAGACCACGCCGTAGGTGCCCTCGCCGATCTTCTCCACCTTCTGGAAGTTCTCCATGGGGGGGACACGGGGGGCGACACCGGGGGGACCCCGGCACGGGGGAGGGGACACCGCCA